TTTTAACAAAAATTAAATATCATGCTTAGATAAGTGAAGTCAACAAAAGTTAGCTATTTTACAGAAAAGTCAACAAAACTTTGTGATTAAAATGACTTCTTTAAAGTTCAGGATTAAATCGTCCCAAATTTGAAAGTTCGGGATTTTTATGACATTTTTCCCTATATGTTTTGGTTATGTTTCAATTTATGTATTGCATATGATAGACCATATCATGTACCATAGTGTATGTATAATTAAGGCAAACAATTATACCATACAAATCCGATTTCATATATTACACCAATCATCCATATACAAAAAGGATTACACACCTAATCATAATTAGTTAATACATATGCGAAAGTATTCATAACAACGCTGCATGTCCAAAATTTAATTAGTAAGAACATGCAACGTTGTAACGTGCACAAAAAATTAGTTTAGTTAAAACATGATAGAGTACTTCATGGCTGGGATAGAAACTCTACCTCACCTGTATATGAACCACGTGGATTTGGATCAGAAAGCTCAATGTAGCAATCAGTATCAGCGACCTCAAAAAATACCTCTGCTGCTTGTTTCAACCGAATTGCTGGTAGAGCTTCGTCAGATAACCCATCAAAAGTTAGACCTATAGCCAAACATTCAATATACTTGACCGCATACACCCCACAATCTCCTTGTTGATAGTTCTGTGGTGTTTTCCTAACTCTGTACAATGGTGAAAGCTTTGCCAGAAAAATCTTTTTTCTCTTCAGCTGGCGCTACTATCTTCATCAATGCTTGGATCATTTTCGTGTAAGGTTTGCACGAGTCAAATACTTCTTCATCTGTGTAGAGGCTGCATATGCTGTCGTAGACTTTAACACGGCACTCAATCAGATTGACCTCAATAGCTACCCAGTGATCATTGTTAATGTTGTGTGCAAGGTAGAGAATAACAATTTCCTCGACCCACCTCTTTAGTCTGTCCAAATGTGGGGTGTAGACCATTGTACACCCTGAAATACTTCTCAGGAAAAGAGTAGTTTTTGTCTGAATCAAACTTCTTCAAGTCATGTTGCCACTGGTTAACATACCATGGATCTAGGAATGCTATCCGATCACTTCTATACGGTGAAACTTCTCTCATTGACATATGCTGCCAAAAGAGGAACAATGTTGTCATAGAGTTACAAATTATATGTTTATGTTATTAGTGAAACAAAAAGAGAGGAGAGAAATGTTTACCGCATCCTCCCACCACCTAAAATCAGAAGATGAACTAGACCAACAAACTTTTGGAGTGAGGATCCTTAAGTAAAAATTTGCCACATAGCAACTTTCATCGAACACGCACTCCCTATACACATCAAATGAAAGGCAGTTATTGCTAAGGAAAGGAAACCGAGGTATTTAAGCAGATAGGCGAATTAAAAGCAGAGTTGAACTTACAAATATTTGTCTACATATGCCATTAACTTCTCTGCCATGGATTTGCTGACCTTCTCAAAGATATCATAATGTGCTGCTGACAATTTTTTCCCTTTCAGTATATGCTTAACAACAGAACTACCAATGTACGGATGTAGTTGAGTGGAAGCAAGGTCTTCTTTCGGCCTTCACGAGCAACAACACCATCGCCTTTCCAAAACATGTATAACTTTTCAAGGGATAAACCCAGATTCTTTCTAGCTTCAACCTCAGGAGGCTCAGATAAATCTGATCCGTCCGATAATTCTTCCAAAGCAGTAGTCAAATCAACAGCTACTGGATCAGCCGTTTCCACTTGTCTCTCCTCACATTCTGCTGGGGTGAACTGTGTATCTGGAACAATCAATCCAGGAGGAGTAAGATAATACAGCCTCTTCTTAACACTATATTGACAGAGATAGAATTCTTTGTTAATGGAATAACGGATTCAGTCCTCTTCTTGTCAAGTGCAGATATGGGTTCCTTAAGTTGTTTAGCTCCAACTCCAACTACTTGATTCATTTCCTTCCAACCTGATTTAACTTCTCTGACTTTCTTCAAAGACAATCTTGATCGACTAATTGGATTCCTTACAACACAAGAAATAGGGAACTTGCCTGCGATGTTTGCTTCGTCTCTAATCTCCAAGACTAAAAGGTTAATAAACGTTTGGACATCAGAATAGCAGACTTAGCAAATGTAGACCTTACATATGGAAAAAATTAATACATAACATAGTCAAGTCTTCAATAAAACACAAACTTAAAATTTTACAAATTCAAACCATTCTAAAGTTGTAAAGAAAATGAACAAGAAGAAAATATAGGGAGATAAAATTAGCTTGAAAAGATTTCCCAGCAACCAACCAACTAAAGCATATTTTTGCATGAAAAAAACCAATATCCTTTTACCATACCTTATATGAAAGTCTGTCAATGCAAATAAAGAGATATGTTTAGAGTTCATACTTCAGCGTTGGCTCCAGAACCACCATCATCTCCAGTTTGGGACTCCTCATCATTCGCACCACCCCCTATCTTCACTTCAGTACCTATCTTCACACTTTTCCCTTTCTTATCACCTACTTCTCTTTTATCTTTCTTCAAATCACACACATCAGTCTCAAGGACAATCAATCCCCTTAACTTGGTTCCCAATCTTTTCCATCTGACCTCCCAAGTTAGAATTCATTGAATCAACCTTCCATGTCAAATTTCCCAGCAACTTCATCAATCATTCAAGTGATCATTTCTCTTCCCTCTCAGCACCCGAGCTCTCCTCTCCATTGTCGTCACTAGGTTCTTTCAACTTGACTGGGCCTTTAGACCGTCTAAATGTCTGTTTTTTCTATTGAGGAGGATCAACAACATCATCAGATTCCATGATCTGTATCCTCTTCTCCATCTTCTTCTGTCGTGCAACATCATCAGATTCCATGATCTGCTTCCTCTTCTCCATCTTTTTCTGTCCTCCAATATCATCAGATTCCATTATCTGCTTCCTGCAAACTCAGTAGATGGAACATCCCATTGTCTCTTATAAACGTGTCCCATGGAGATGTCATACAGCAGATTGTCGAGGAGTTTGTTTGAGCTTGAGGATTCCCCGTAGACAACTATGTCATCAGGCCAGAAAGGAAATATATCATCTTCTTCTCGCCAAGAGACATGTTCAGCTACAATCTACATTGGAAACAAGTCTATCACTACCAATAACCAAGTGGAACATGAACACATCCATGGATTGCATAACTCTCTGTCTTAAAGGACAACACTTAATGGACTGGATTAGCTCTTTAAATCCCACCCGGTCCCATGGAAATCTGTCAATTGCTGGAATATCAAAAACTCTTTTTGCATACTCCAGTGGAATCCTACTGTCCCTCGGGAGTCCCAAAATGCCAACATGAACAACAAACAACAGTCCCAACATCTTTCTCCTCTCAGGACTCCATGTTCTGCAATTCTTCAAGGTTTCATCCAAGTCATACCAGTTAGGCCCTACACCATTATCCACCTTTAACTCTGCCCAAAAGTCTCTGTGATCTACTTCCAAAATATCATCCTCAACTATGGGCAGACAGTTCAGACCATAAATGTCTTCATACTCATTAAGAGAGAACCTAATCGAACAACCTTCAATCAATGACCAAATCTCATACCTCCTATGTATAGCCAACTGCCGTGTGAGGATGTAATGAACAAGCTTAGCCCACCATACATAGTCAGAATCAGCAAGACTCAATATGACTTCTACTTGTGTATGATCCCGAATGTCTTTGTAAACCTTTTCACTAATGCAGTCTTTCATCAATCCAAAACTCGCCAAACTGCAGTTATGGTGGATGCTCCTCTTTAGAAGAGGAGATTTTCCAGGCAGATACAGTAAAGGAGGGTACCTTCCCTTCTGTTCACTACTTGATGATCCCATTTCCTGCAAATTACAACAATCACCATTTCAACAACTTCATTATAATCCAACAGTCTATCATTCAACCAGCCCTTTTGAATTAATTCACACTCAAAAGCCAGGTAACACTTAAACAAAAATGCATAAAGATTAATTCTATCAATATTTCCTGCCATAACATATGTATCTCTATTTTCAAAGTCTGTGAAAACAATTGCTAATGTCATTGTGAATTCAAAACAAAACCAACAACTGTAAAAACAGAAATCGTGTGAAAATGACAACAATCACAATGTTACAACCTAGTCAATTCTAATATAAAATCTTATTCTATGTTACTACATACCACGCATGCTTTATTTATATCAGTGTACAACAGACCCCACCAGCAGTTTATTTTGTCTTTTCTAATGAAAATAAAATAGCCACTATAACTACTTATATATTAACTCTATCACAATATCATACTTTAATGACACTAACTCTAAATATAAACTCTGCCACCAAACTATATGAAATGTCATTTTCAATGCAATACCAAACAAATTTCTATTTTCCTCCAACCAACCCGCCAAATTTAAATACAAGTTTCTATCCTATTTTTTCAGATTTTCCACAGTCCAAAGAACATTAACAATCGATAGTTACCAGATTACAAAATTACTCTTTCAAATTCTAAGCAATCAACCAGATCTACAAGTCATCGTTAATAAACTAAACCAAATGTTTCTTAAACACTAACCTTCTTTTTCTTCAAGCACGCTAGTTACTATACCCAACACCTCCGATAATGTCCCCGTCGTTTCGATACCTATCAAAAAGATACAATTTTTATAATCCATTTTTCTATCAGAACTTTAATTACCCACACACTTCACTGAAATCTTACCCCCACGAATCGTCTTCACCACTGTGCTCGACAATCTAACAAAGAATGATGATTGATCTTCCTTAACTCTCGCCTACTCCTTTTCTAACCTCCGCCAATATACACCAAATCTCGCTTTTCCACCCACAAATTTTCGTCGCCTCGCCTCCACTGTCTCCGTCGACTCGATATGTCACTGATTAAAACTCGTCTTTTTAGTTTCTCTACTCACACGAAACGACTCCTCCACTCACCTATTCAATTCACATCTTACCGGAAAGTAGAGACAATGTCGCCCTCGACTCTCGGAATCGCTTCAACAGTCGCCGGAATCACATCACGAGTCGCCGGATTTTCGCCTCCAAAAAGAGAGAAACGACTCTTCGCTTTCTATGTGATTACGGTTTGATTTTCAAAAGATATGTTTTCGTTTTTCTATGGTTAATCTTTTATTCGATTACTCCTATTCTTTTTATTTTAATAAGTAAAACATTAAATAAATGGCACTCACGTAATTAAAAATATAACCGGATGAACTTTTGTAATTTCCTTATCTTTTTAGGCTATTGTAGTTCTACCAAATTTGTATGGGCTTCTTTGGTTATTAACACAGGTTTAGGTGCCAGTTTTGTTTTTTTCAATATATATTAACCTACAAATACATACAAAAATGCATCTTTTATTTTCTTGTCGCGGGTAAAAATATTGAGTTATACATTATGGCGGGTAAACATGTACAAGATTAAGGTGAATATATATATATGATTTGTTGCCCTCTCTCGTTTTTATTCTCTCCGCCGCTGGTGCCTCGGACGTGAGCTTATTCATTTTCACTAGTTCTTTGTGAGTTACTCTTTTTCAATGATTATTATATGGCTTTGTCTTTATACGTGAACTGTGATGTGTTTTATATAAACTCTTCTATATAATATGCTAATTAATCTGATTATTTTTGTGATGGTGTGTCTATGTGTAAATTTTCTCCCTACGATGATGTGTTTTTGTGCATAGAATACACATTTTTTATGATATGTCGTTGTGGTGCTTATAATTATGTTTTGTGTAGGGTTTTGATAATGGATTGCATTGTTAAAGAAAATGAAGAGAACGAGTAATTTTAAGTTAGATATTGATATTATGTTTCTGCTTTTGTCGACCATTGCGAGGATTCAATATTTCGCACTGCAGATACCACACCAAATAAGAAAACCAGCTACTAGACTTGGACATTAATACATACAAAAAGCATCGGTTGAGGAGGAACGCGACACTTTTCGACATATGTATCACATGTATCCAGAAGCATTTTTGAAACTGTGCTCTATTTTCAGAATGGAGATTGGTTTAAAAGACACAATATTTGTTTTAGTTGAAGAAATGCTTGCCACATTTTTGTTCATTGTTGGGCAGAATTCAAGGTACATTCAATTAGAAGATAGATTCCAGAGATCAAGATTCTCAATAAGTACGAGCTTTAACACAATTCTGAAGGTGTTAAAAGCACTTGCTCCGAAGTATATGGCTAAACCCGGGCTTGGAGTGCCTACAAAAATAAAAGACAGCACACGATTTTATTCTTATTTTAAGGTATGAGATTGTTTTCTTGTGCTTGTTTTCTAGTATTTCGGAAAGCTATACGGCTAATCTTATGTTTCTATTTTTCTTAGGACTGTGTGGGGGCTATTGATGGAACTCATATCCTTGCAATGATAACAGGACAAGACTCGGCTAGCTACCGTAATCGTAAAGGAAAACTATCACAAAATGTGTTGGCTGCATGTAATTTCAATTTAGAATTTACATACATTCTTAGCGGTTGGGAAGGTTCAGCTTACGACACAAAGGTACTAAATGATGCTTTAACAAGAAACACAAACAAATTAATAGTTCCTGAAGGTACGTCACAACATTATGATGAAAAAAATATTCTTTGTTATCTTGTTATTCATTTTAAATTTATATATATATTACTTATATTTGTATGCTTTTTATATTCTAGGAAAATTTTATTTAGTTGATTGTGGATTCATCAATCGTCGTCAATTTTTAGCTCCATTTCGAAGTACTCGCTATCATCTCCAAGATTTTAGGGGACAAGGAAAAAATCCAGTAAATGCAAATGAGTTGTTTAACCATCGTCACTCTAGCTTGCGAAACGTAATAGAGAGGATTTTAGGCATATTCAAGTTAAGATTTCTCATCTTTAAATCTGCACCACCCTTTCCATATAAGACGCAAGTAGCGTTAGTACTTGCTTGTGTTGTTTTACATAATTATCTTGGTAGAGAATGTTTCTTCCGGAAGAAGATGGGAATAATGAGGAAGAAAATGATGTTGATGAAAGATATGATGATGGGAATAATGAGGAAGAACAGCTTCATGGTACTCAAGAACAACAAAGAGTGCTTGCTAATAACTGGAGAGCAATTATAGCGGCAACCATGTGGACATATGCTATAAATATGGGGTCATGATTCATTAATATATTAGATTGTCTCTATTTTTCTGTTGGGATCCGTTTTTTATCCAATACTTTCTACTAAGAAATGCTTTGTCTCCTTTGGCTACAATGCCTATTTTTCTCATAAATTACCAGTGTGAAAGAAGTGTAGGTAAATGTGATTCTTCAATGATGTTGTCTTTGCCAGCAACTTGATCCAGTTTTTGTCAAATCTTGTTTAACAATTGAGGTATGGTTACGATCTCTACTATATCTCTACCATCCATGGCGAATTTGGATGCGTTAACCGACACCACCAAAAACCATATCCATGAGGAAAAGGCTTCACATAAGTCCTGACAGATGAGCTTTGTCATCATCGTCTTATAAGATACAAACGTCGTCGAGTTCAAATGTTAATCTTCTTGACGTACAACTTCATATACAAGTTTCTATCTCTTTCTTTTTTTCTTTTAAATTATCCATAAGTATCCTAAACTTTAAAATAATAATCAAATCTCACCAAATCACAAGTTATTTCTTTTTAAATCTTTAACAAATAACCCAAAATTCTACAATCTACACTCAAATCTCTCAAAATTCTAAAATATTAAAATCTCACCAAATCTCCTAAAATATGCAGTTCAATACACCTCCTAAGATTAGCTCAAATGAGCCAATTCGAGGGACAATTGCTTACATACTTCACGAGAAATGGTCTGGTATGAGCTTTGCATGCCAAAGAGTCCGCTTTTACATTCAAATTTTGTGGTATAAGAAATAAAGAAAAGTTCAAAAATTCTTCCCTGTCGATTTTGATGTCATCCATGTATGCAGAGAGCGCCGGCCACCCGTAGGGAGAAGACACCATCTTCACCAAGTCTGAACAGTCGGTAAGGAACATTACGTCTCTGTGATCATGGCCAATCATGCATCGCATCGCCCATACTAGAGCTTCTACTTCTGAATGGAGTGGAGAAAGACTTCTGCGGAGATTGGAGGCTCCCATTGTCGTCGAAGAATCTTGAGCGTGCTGACAGACCCATCCTAACCCTGGATACAAATTTTTATCCTTCCAAGATCCATCAATGAAGCACCGATACCCTGAAAAACTGGAAGGTAGAAATTCCAGACAGACTTGCGTCCGAGTGCTCATTACAAAATGAGCTGTAGGATATTCCAGCTCCTTAATCTGCGCCTCAGACCATATTTTTGCCTCATCCTTAGCAACCCTTACTGTATCCATGGGATTCATATCCACATTCTCATAAATTTTTGAATCCTGAACCTTCTAAATATACCACATTAGCCATGGACTGAAATCATGATTGCCCCCATTGGATAATAAATGAAAAATATAATCCACGTTTGCATACACCGATGTAGTGGGAAAAGATATAAAACCCACTGGAATACTTGCCAATGCCCAAGATTGACGCGCTGGTGAGCATTTAAATATTACATGATTAACCGTTTTCGTTTGTGCTCCACATCTGCTACATGTAGGATCACAGTTTATTCCCCTCTGGCTTAAGCTAGCCAAGACCGAAATGCACCCCGTTAGTACCTGCCACATAAAATGTTTTATCTTTGGTGGGCATCGCAGCTTCCATGCTCTTGCTAGTAGTGCTGTAATATCTGACCCACACACCTTAGGTGCTAGGCAGCTTGGATCCACATCCACCAGTCTAGTACCAAGCATGATGGGATTGATCAAAGCAACATCCTCCGGTGTAAAAAACTCATTAAGCATATCCAAGCACCAAGAATTCGTTTGACGATAAACTAAGTGTCGTATATGTAAAGACGAGTCCATAAGTGAACCGTTACTTAAGGCTAGTCTTGGGAATTGAGCAGGAATCAAGGGGTATGTCCAAACAGAGACAGAATCCCCCGATTCAACCCGATTAATAAGCCCTCTACTAATCAGAGATCTAGCGGAAGTGATACTTCTTCAACCATATGATAGCCTGTATGACTTTATCGGATCCATCAGATGAGAATTCTGATAGTACCTAACTTTAAAAACCTTTGCAAAAAGCAAAGCTAGTAACACCGAATTGAAGTCATTTACATCGCGAAACCTTAACCCACCCATGCTCTTACTTGAACATAATTCATTCCATGCTCGCCAATGCATACCCCTTGATTGACCATTGGTAATATGAAGCATGATATAACATAAGTTGGTAAAACAGAGGCCACCGACTTGATCATCACTTCCTTTCCCCCTTGGACAACAGTTTGGCTCACCAACCGTTTGTATGGCTACTTAATTTGTTACGTACAAAAGAGAATACTTGCGTTTTTGCTCCCCCTAAACTTTCAGGTAGACTCAAGTAAGAACCCATACCTCCGACATTTGTAATCCTTAAGACCTCCTTAACTTCCTCTTTAGTGAACTCCGTAACTGTGTGACCACACTGTAGAGATGATTTAGTGAAATTAATTTGTTGCCCCGACACCGTCTCATACTTCTTTAGAATTCCCAGGACTACCGCACATTATTCTTTATTTGCTTTGCAGAAAAATAAGCTATCATCAGCAAACAGCAAATGAGATATAGGCGTGCACTTATTTGCCACCTTAATTCCTGTTATGGATTTATCGAGTTCCGCCTTCCGAATGGTTGCGATTAAAACCTATGTGCAAAGAAGGAATAGATATGGTGAAAGTGGGTCTCCTTGCCTTAGTCCTCTGCTTGGTTTAATTGATCCCTTGGGGTGACTATTAATTAAATCCATGTACTCCACCGATGATATACAAAACACCGTTCTATGAATTCCCACTCCACCCTATCACACGCCTTACTTATATCAGTTTTATGGCGACAAACTTACTCTTACAAGAAGCGTTAGTTCGGAGACCATGAAACATTTTCTGTGCTACTAAGATATAATTAACCGCCGGTTAACGGTTATGATTTTCTTTAACCATAATCTTAACCATTATATATACGGTTAAGACGGTTACGGTTATATACGGTTACGGTTAATTACGGTTACGGTTAAATACGGTTACGGTTATTTGATTATTATTATAATGTTAATATTAGAGGCAAAATTATATAATTCTAACTTTTATAATAATAATAAAATAATATATGAGATAATATTTATTTTACAAATAAAATAGATGTGATTCAAATATTTATAGTAAATTTGTTAAATAATTCTGAGTTGTTGCTTATACAAAATAAATGATTTGGTTAATGAAAAATAAAATTTTAAAATCGGTTAGATTTATTAGAAGACACAATAAACCATTTAAACTAACGTTTTATTTAGAAAATTTAAGTAACAAAAACCTATATTTAATAATATAGATGATGTTTATTAAAAACTATTTTTAAAAAAAAAACTGGTAAGCTAATTAGAAAAATTTAGTTACTATCTTCTTCTGATCTCGTTGAAGATACATCACTATCATCAATATCTTCTGATTCTTCATCATCTCGAACGAATTCTTGTTGTCTATAATCAGCCCTCGTCCAATCATCGAGACATGCTTGAGCTTCAAGAGAATCTGGAGTCAATCTTGCTCGAGTTTCATCTAATATTTGACCACCCATGCTAAAAGCTCTCTCGACCGAAACGGTAGAAACTGGTGAAGAAAGAACGTCTTTGGCGACCATGGCTAGAATGGGATAATGGGATTGATGACTCTTCCACCAGTGAATGATTTGAAAGCTATTACCTGCATCTGCATCACTAAACTCAAAATTAGTAGTTAAGTATTTCTCAATTTCAGCAATATTACCTTGTGATGGTCTTTGTTGTTTCTGTCGCCGCATCCTTTCTGCAAGACTTAACACAGAAGTTGATAAAATATCATTTTGTTGAGATGACTCACTTACCTGTGGTGCCATATGCTTATATAATCTATAATATTCGTCATATATACGTTCTATGTCGTTTCTTGTGTTTGAAATAATGCTAGGAATGCTAATAGTATTAGACAAATGCAATAAACGATAATAAACAGTGAGGTAGTCAAATAAGCCATCAAATTTAGTTCGAGGATCAAAAACTGACGCAAGCAAATTAAGTGGTGGAATTTTTCTATAATATTTTATCCATTTTTCTCTCATGCTTTCTATGAAAGATGACAAAACAATATTATCTTCATGTGCATGCATCACATCAGCAATATTAACACATTCATATAAAAGTAAATGACTAGTAGGATAATAAACACCAGATAATAAATACGTTGCATCATTAAAACATTTTAGTAATTGTAAAAGTGCACTACAATCATCCCAATGAGTTGGCCACAAAGTTAGAGAACTACAATGTTGCTGAATAAAACTACACAATAAATCTTTATAACCAATGGAACCAACAAGCATATTGTATGTTGAATTCCAACGAGTAGGAACATCTCTAGAAAATCTTTTGGGAGATACGTTATGCATTTTACAAAATCGAAACCATTTTTTCATTAACTGTGGATGCCCCCATAAATAATTCAAAGCAGTTTTAATGGGTGAAACAAGATTACTTTGAGAAACCAATAAACCATCTTGAACACATAAATTTATAACATGACAAATGCATCGAACATGAAAATATTTTCCACCTAAAATAGGACTACAAATGTTTATTAATTCATCAACAGAAGCAGTATTAGCGGATGCATTGTCAAACGAAATAGAAAATATTTTGCTTGTTAACTTGTATTCATCTAAAATTATTTTTATTAATTTGAAAATATTATCGGATGTATGTCTTTCATCAAAAACTCGAAAAGCAATAATTCTCTTTTGAATAATCCAATCACTATCAAGCCAATGACAAGTAATGCCCATATAATGATGTATCTGCCATGGATCACTCCAAATATCGCAGCAAACTGAAACATTATTATGTAAACCAGAAAACAAATTTTCTAAATATTTTTTTTTGTTTCGATAAACTGATTTTAGTGTACGAGTAAGAGTAGTTCTAGGAACTCTCTTAGCTTGAGGATTTAATGCTTTAACACAATAATTATTAAAACCAATTTTTTCCCCAAAACTAAATGAAAGATGGTCAACAGCAACCATTTTTGCTAATTTTATTCGATTTTTCTTATCTGAATAACGAAAATTCAAAAGATTAGCAGAAGTAGTTTGGCTACCTTCATTATTATATTTGTCAGGATGACTGTGACGCAAATGATATGTATATGACCCATATCCCGAACCCTTGTTCCAACAAAATTTTCTAGTGCAATAGTTACAGCATGCTTTCAATAAACCATTAATTTTTTCTTTTCGAAAGTGTACCTTGAATATGTCGGAAGCATTTGGACGTGGTTTTCCAGAGTTTATGTTGGCTTGTTCTTCAGTTGCACTTTCTTGAGTATTGATGGCTGGTAGTGAGTTACGAACATCATCCGTTGGTGTGCCGATATTAGATAGAAATGAGCTCGAAGACATTTTCAAACAAAACAAAAATTTTTAAAAGTATAACAAAGCAAAAGCCTTAACGTTACGTTGAAAAGAGTAAGAGAAGATTAGTTTTTGTTTTAGAAATATTTAGAATACGTAACACTATTTATAGAAAATTTGGTTACTATAACAATGGAAAAGATCTTTGAAAAATATAAAATCTCAACAAACTTTAGTGACTCGGTGACAAACAAACAAAGACTATTCTTCTCTAATCTAATGGAGAGACGTTGGTGACTTGGTCATAAAATTTTGCAATATAAATTAAAACAGAAGAAAGACTAATAAAACACAATTTAAATAGTGTTACTATGGTAAGTCAATAAATTTAAACGTTAATTAATGAAGCAATTAAAGAAGCAACCAATGAGAGAAGTAAGGAAACAGTCGATAAATGAGTTAACAAAATCACTTTTTCTCCTTCTTTCCAGCTTCCAAGCTGTGCATTAAAATGATATTTGATATATAGCTTTATATTATAAATTAAATTATTATATGTTTTTTTCTTCTTCTTTTGTTATTAATTTTTCTCAAGTCTATACAAATTTACAATCTAATTCAAAAAGAATTATAAAGTTTTTGGTCAAAATATTCTAAAATCCTAATGCTACTCCATCGTGAGTTCGTTACTTGTATTATATTACAAACTCATTATATAGCTACAATCAAGTTCTTTCATGTTTAAACAAAATCTGAAACTAAATATGGAGCAAGGAGAACGCAAATCACAAGAACTTCCACCCATTAGTAAGACAAATCCTCACATATTTGATCTAAACAAACCGTTTTATGAAGAAGAAGAGCTTCATCCCAACGAAGTATTAGAAGAAAAGAAACAAAAAGCAGAGAATATAGAATCGATCAAGAAGACAAGTTCTAGCACTGTTCATAATTTCAATCTGAACGACCTGTATTACGAAGATGGAAAAAAATGTGTAATGAAGGAAGCTAGGCGGGAGATGCTGAAGATTTATTTGCCTAAATATTTTAACGTTTGGATTTTTTTATTATTATATGAGATTAATTCAATAAATAATCGTCTTTTATTATTCTCTACCATTTTTGCATCAAATTATTATCTGATTATATTGTTTTGTTTGGACAGTGAGTATTGCATTTACAAGTATTGTTGGAGGTTCTCGAAATCTGGGTATTGGATCGAAACTGAGAAACTCAACATCAAATGCACACAAAAATAAGATTAAAATAGTTTAGTATAAAATATTTTGATTATTCACAAGTTTAACTTGTTGTATTGCTTTTAATAAGGTGAAAATCTTATCCAAATATTGGATGTCTTTTTTCATTGTATACAATTATATTTATAATTTATTTTAAAGATTTAAATCTTCGGTTAACCGTGCGGTTAACCGTACGGTTAACCGGCGGTTTATTACGGTTACGGTTAATTAACGGTTACGGTTAGTGTTTTTTTTAACCGTAACTAATTTATTTATACGGTTAACGGTTAAGATTTTTAACCGGTTTAAACGGTTACGGTCCGGTTACGGTTGATAAACGGTCCGGTTACGGTTAGAAATACGGTTAAGGTTAGCTTTTGGTCATGCCTACACATAACTACTACCATCAACTCCAATCACACTGTATTCGTGAAAATAGTTGTTTAGTTCAGTCACCGGTAAGAGCTTTGCGTCTGAACATCTATCGTGCAACAACTTCTCAACAAAAGGGACTAACTTCTGCTCTATTGGTGTCTCTATAGATATTTTCCTATATTTATTAAACCATTCAGCTAGTTTGGCAACAATCGCATCTATCATTGGTAGTAAAGCGTATGCCCTTAAGAATCTAAAGACACCATTAATAGATTCAACTGTATTAGTTGTATCAATGTTGTATCTAGCTCCTGGATAGAAACATCGTGCCCATTTATGTTGTCCTACGTGATTATCAAGATAAGTATCTGCAGCTGTAAACCTTTTACTGAAATCAGCATAGAGTTTCTCAAACTCAGACTCGGTGTAAGCCTTCGCAACTTGCATGAACGTCGTCGCAACTACATCTCTGTTCACGTTCTTACAGCTCAGTTTAACATTCTGAGACAAGTGATAAATACAATATCCATGATGAGACAACGGATACACCGTACTTATTGACATGATCAAGCTTTGATGTCTATCAGAACAGAAGACCAACTCAGTACAATCTGGTATAACTGATTTCAATTTACTGAAAAACCAAGTCCAACTTGCATTATTCTCACTGTCAACTACACCAAATGCAATTGGATAATGGTGGTGATCCGGATCTTGAGCTGAAGCCACGATTAGTACTCCACCATATACATTTTTAATACTGGTTGCATCCACAATGATCACCTTTCTCATGGAATTGAAGCCTTCAATGCACGCCCCCAAGGCGAAAAAAAAATATTTAAACCTCTGGGCTTCATCCAATTCAACAAATGAAACTGTACCTGGATTCATCTTCTCCAACATGTGCATATAACAATAAACCAACTTATAACTATCCTCTGCGGTACCACGAAGGTCAGCTGCAGCTAGCTTTTCCCTCTATTTGCGGTTGAGTATGACACTTTGATACCAACTTTTGATTGAACCAAAGGAATCAGATTTTTTGGAGTTGGAGTGTCTATCAGACAAGGGAAATCTTCACGCAAAACAGATGCAACTAAATGAAATGTGCCTCTCCTTTTTTTACTCATTGTACTTGTTTCTGACCGTAAGCATGTATGTATCTTAGTGTAAGTTCTGACCAAGAAACTGTCTGCATTCCCATTCCTTGCTGCTCGTAAAGCCCACTTGCAACCCTTTCTAAATTCTGAGCATTTAAGCACAAACAACATAGGATCCGACTTTATTATAACAAACTCAAAACAGTTCTTGTGCGCAGCTTTTTCAACCAAATCTTTAATTACTTGCTTGCTTTCAAAATTCTTGCCGGATAGTCACATCCAAACCATCTTCCCACTCACGCTTTACAACCGGTGTAATCTCTGCAGCAGGTGTGATCTCAGAAGGTGTGATCTCAGCAACAGATGTGCCATCTTATACTATTGCTCGTTCTTCAGACTGTTCTTCATAACGAATCATGTTCCCATCTCTCCCATCACTATTTTCCGCCATCTCATGACTTTTAAACGGCTCGCTTTCATCAAGGAACATGGTCCCATTTGTCGCTCTACTACTTGAAATATGCTCCTCATTGAGTGAACAACCTACACTTCCCCGACTCTTCTCATACCCCTAATTTACGACTTCGACATGCAAAACTTCGAAATGATCTTCATTCATATCCATATAACACATAACATCATCATCATCAAATATGTATATTGGTCTCTTAGGCTCCACTGATTTTGGAACGTAACTCAATTTCAGCTCAGTCGTTGTTTCATCACCATTCGCCTTCCCGCATATCTTGTTCACCACTGCAGAATAAGTGACCTCCTCTGTCTCCATTCTAAGAGATTGATGAACTTAATCTCTTGAACTCCATCTTGGTTCATTTTCTCTTGTTGCATAATATCCCCCATAATCATATATTATG